CAAAACCCCATTTTCCAGTGTCAGCTGTGCTCCCCCATCTTCCCCCCTCTCGCTCTAAGACTCCGTCTCCACTACCTAGAGACAGACAGGCTCCACTTCCCACTTGGTCCACCTCTCTTCTCATGTAACCCGACTCCAAAATCAATGATAGCCACAACACCGTCAAATCTACAAAGTACATTGCTCAAGTGCTGCAGGGCTTAGAAGAGGACAGGGATTCTGGGGACTATGGTGGTTCTGGCAGGTCTGAGGGCTCTAGGACCTTGGAAGCTTTAATTTCATGAGAAATACAGAGACTGAAGGAGGCCTAAATAAGTATAAGGGCCATGAATGGAAGAATAAAAGTCTAGAATAAACAGAAAGGAAACATAAATCATGAAGAAAATAAGGGAGAGAAATCTTACTTAGAGAAAGACTCAGAAAATTAAATTTTAAATACAAAACAAATTGAAGGGAGGCAAGGAAAAGATGTTTTACTTAACTGAGAAAGAAAACAGAGAGGAAGAATTAGGTAATTAGATGTTGCCCGCAACGAGATTGTACACTGAACGGAGAGGCGTGAAATACCTTATGACATGGGCCAGGCGGAGTAGAATTACTGACTCAGTTTATTCATCTGAGGGCACAGAATATATAGGGAAGATCTAGCCTAACTTCAAAGAGTCCTCCCCGTGAGATACTCCCCAGAACATCTGCTGAGGATGTAACAATCATGAATTTCCTCCTTATCAGGGCTCCTAGATTGGGCTGTAGATTCCAAGGTTTTCCCAGGCGCCTAGGCCCCACCTGCATAGAGGAGTAAATACGTAAATCTAAGGTTCAAAGAGAGAGAAGGGATATCTCAGTGACCTCTTTATCAGGAAGGAATTTGGGGAGCCGTACCACTTAATCCTTTGAGCCCTTTGGGGTGAAAGCCTGAGCAGAGGTCAAACTCTGCCTTGGATCTTAAACCCTTATCAGACTCTTAAGATCGGCCCTCAACAATTAGATAAAAGGAATTAATGAATTAAGTAAAATGGCAAAAGTAGGGGAAAGTATAATAAATGGGAGAGTAGGAGCTTGAGGGTAAAAGGAAGAGAGCCAGTGAGAGAATCGGGTTGCCTTAAAGTACATTAAGCTCGTTACCATTCAATATTGTACTAGAAATGCTAGGTATGGTCATAAGACAAGAAAAAGAAACTGAAGGAATAAGATTAGGCAATGAGGAATGAGTTTTGCTTACAGGTTTGCAACTAGAACAATTAACAATTTCTGCAAAGTTGCAGAGTATAAAATAAGCCCACAAAAAACTATCAGCATTTCTGAATATTACCAACAAAACCCAGCAGGAAGAGATAGAAAGAGAAATTTCATTTTAAATAATTCCAGATAGTGGAGGGTGGAGTCAAGGAGGTGGATTACGGGCAGCAACTCAACTGAACTCTCCCAAAATTCCCATCCAAATAACTTTAAAATAACTCCCCAAATCAAATTTTGGAGAGGCCGAACCAACAAAATGTTACATTGAGAAATTTTTCCAGCCTAAGACCATTTAGGAGGTCAGCAGAAGAGGAACTAGCCTGGAACACAGGTGGCAGCAGCAGCAACAGTGGGTCTTGGAGGTAACTATGATTGCAAAAACAGCAGTAGCAGCTCCAGTATCTCTCAGCCCAAAGACAGGAAGAGGGTTAGACAACTAACCAGGAAGAAATTACAGGGGACCCTTTGCTGATACTGAGTTCAGATGGCAACTATTGATAACTCTATTGCTTATATGAAGCTCTGGGTCATAGCTCCAGGGCAGAAAGGAGTACTTGTGATCAATCACAAGGGAACAAGGGCTCTTGGCATAGTTCCAAGACAGAGAGGAGCACTAGCACTTGCAGCTACAGGACAGTAGGAGCCCTTCCGTGGTAAAGACCAAGAGTATAGACCAAGAGAGCAGTGACCACACCTCTCCCTGGATCACACCACTTTGAAAGCACTGAAAACACGCAGATACCCAAAACTACTTCTGAAAACAGCAGCTTGAAAAAGCCTGAAGCTTGGTTGGGACACTGCCTCCCCACCCCCAGGTGAGCAGGGCCCAACTTTAACATAAAGTCCAAAGTCAAGAAACAGGCTGGGAAAATAAGCAAACAGCAACAACAACAACAAAAGAATTTGACCATAAAAAGCTACTTCAGTGACAAGGAAGATCAAGAGATAAAGACAAACTCAGAAGAAGACACTAATGGGAAAACAGCTACAACCAAAGCCTCACAGAAAAATGTTAATTGGACCCAAGCCCAACAAGAATTCTTGGAAGAGTTAAAGAAATAGATAAGAGTGGTAGAGGGAAAATTGGGAAAAGAAATTAAAGCGATAACAAGAAAATTATTAAACGGAATTTACTCCAATTGCCTCCAAAAATGAAAGAGAGAGAGAGAGAGAGAGAGAGAGCGAGCGCGCGCGAGCGCAAGCAAGCTAGAGTCTCAGTTGGAATCTTTTGTATGTACTCTCTAGCTTACCAATTTAAAGGCTTTTCTTCACTACTCAATGAAGCAGGCAGGAAATAATCACAGAATACCTGTCCGTGCTTTGAATTAGGGGCAGGACCTTTTCATTACACATTATCACATGCTTGTAGAAGCAGGCCCACCACCAAGTCTCCCAGATGGGTTGGCAAAGTTAAGTGTAAGATGACCAGAAAGGTAAGAAGGGGCCAGGTTGTGAAGGCCAGTAGGTGAAGAACTGATGCATCTCAAAAAGACCATCACTAAAGCCTTCTTTTTGCTATGGCCTGAAGACTAGCATACCCAAGGTCCTGAGCACATGGCCTGGTTATAGCCTTCCCTTCTTGTTCCTTTCCCCCCACATTCCTGAACCAGGGTGTTTTCATTTTAAGCCTTAAGCCTTTCTTATATGATTTAAAACATCTATAGTAAGAGGCTCTTGGCTTTATACATCACCAGACTGTCTGATTCTCTTGTGAAACTTCCTTAAAGTTCCAAGACAGATAACACCACTCATCAGTGATAGTAAAATCATTTTATTTAATTTTTTTCAAAAAGTAACATTTTGCATATAAATTTCAGACTTCGAGATTACAGCATATATTTACCAAAAGGCACATCCCCAAAGAAGGGACAGAATCAAAAGCCCACTGAGTGAGCACTGGGAAACAAGCTTCTTGGGGAGTTCAAGCGGACATACTTTCTTTAAAATTTGAAAACAACGTCCACCACAACGGCATCCCACTAGGTGTAGGGTGAGCAAACCATCACTATCACCTTTGGGTGATTTTTAGGTCAACAGCTTATCAAACGGAGGAGGATCTCTGGGATTAAGAGTATAAAGGGTCAAGGACCCTTTTTTTTTTCCCCAACAGATACTTCAATCAGCAACAACAATAAAGCCATGTGGATTGCCAAGTTTATTTTGATCAACTTACCAAGAAACTTTACAGGTATGGGAGGCATAGAGGATGCAAAATTGAACTGAAAACTGAATTTATAAAGTAAGCAAAGAATAAAAACAAAAATCCAATTACAACGCCACCACAGGACACAGCCCAGGAAACAGACCCTAAGGGCTGCTGTTCTGCTCCACATTTGGGCTTCACCATCTTGGCACAGTGGATGCTCAGGTGGAGCATCTTCTACCACCACCTACAAGAGCAGACAAGTGTCTGGTTTTCTCGTCCAACTAGAAACGTCTTCATAAGCTGCATGCTCAGTTACTGCTGCTTTTGGGAAGGTCTTGAGAGGTCTGGGGGATATGTGCCAATTCAGAATGTTTCTCTCTGTGGCACGGCCCAAAAGGGACTCTTCTTCCTTTTTGGGTACCATGACAGCTTGGGAAGGACAAACAAGCTGACCCACTTCAGCGTCCCAAGACCAGGTAGTCACCAACTAGCCAGCGAGTGAGGAGGACATAAAAAGTAAGGGATGTCAAAGTGCACTAAACAATACTTCTTACTACATTTGGGTTTTTGATGAACAGTAGCAAGAATCATTGTGCTACAGAGTTACCAGGGCAGCCACAGGACTTGGCCTCAGAAACAGGCAGAGTGCTGGAGCATGGCGATGCCCCCAAATCCAGTTTTAAGAACAAAGCTTCTTTCATTTAGAATAAAAGTATGTAGAGGACAGCAAAGCCCTCCCCCATTCTCAGGCAGCTGCTGAGCTGAGAACAAGCAACGCCCGAGTCAGTCTTAAGACAGCCTGCTACAAACTCCCTGGGTAGAAATATAACCCGACAATCATCCAAATGAGGGGAAATCACAAACAGCAGTACTTCGGTTCATAGAAGAAAGAATTAGTTTAATGACCTTAGAATCAGGAGCACCCTGTCCCTGAGTCTTTTGCTGCTGAATCTCTCCACCTATGTGCAATTTCCACACACCTAAGATGTGGCAGCAAGAAATCTTCAAGAGTTTCTGGTGGGATGGCAAGGCCTATGGACCCAGTGGCCACAAATTTTGCTGTTGGACAACAGAATCCAACTCACTTACAAGGTCCTTTCCCAAAGAACCCCAATGGACTAAATGTCAATCCCTTCTGTGAATTCTGGGTCTAGACCCCAAAAAGGAAAATAATGAGCCCCAGGACCCAGTCATTTGTAGAGTTTTTTGTTGTTGTTCTTTTTTTTTTTTTTTACTGTACTTACCATATACCTGGGTCCCTTTGGCCTGGAAACCCATTTTCCCCAGGGTCTGATGTAAACATTTGCAGACTGCCACTTAGAAAAGCAATAACTCATACATATTTTTGTGTTTAACATTCCAGTGCAGGCAGTGTCTTAGCATTAGTCTTTTTTCTTATTCACAAGTACCTAGCTTATAAAGGAACACACAGAGGGAGCTTGAAAGAACTGTGGTTGAAGAAAACCACCTGACTGCCAGGGAATCTGTATCCTGCAATCAGTGGATAAACCAGGCCTATCCCAGGAGAGCAGAGTAGACTGAGCAGTATTTCTGTGAATTAACTTGCAGAGTCATTGTAACCCTCGTCCCCATTATTGCCCCCACCCACCCACCCTCCCGACTGCCATATCTTGACACAGACGAGTCTTTCCAGCTCTTGCATCAACCTGTGCTTGCTTTGTTTCCAATGGGGCTTTTCTCAGAGGACTCTGGGGCCTCCTTGGAGAGGAGAGAGATTTCTCTCCCAGTCCTGGCATCTGGATATTTGAAAGCACAAGAGGAATCCATGAAAATGCTAGGGATGCTGCTGCCAAAGTAGATCTTACTGTTTGCAGCAATGGCCTGGTACTTTTTAAGCTCCAGATATTCCGGCGTTAGTTTGAGCTGCGTGGAGCAAACAAAAGGAATGCTGTTAGAGCACTTGAAACTCTCCCCTCCTTTTATAAAATCATGATTTATCCTTTCTCTCTCACCACCCTATTCCCTTGAGTATTGCCGAGAAACAATTCTGAATCCATTGAGTGACACTTGGCACACCCCCCTCCCCAGAGCAGAGACCCTCAAGAGTCTCCCCTCCATCTACACACCCTAATAACTCCTATTCCTCCCCATCTCACACCTCTAGCCCACTTCAGTCATCACCCAGCCCATTCCACTCTGTTGTTTAGAACCACAAATCTATTGACCAAAGTTCCCCACGTCCTCAGGCTTTCCAACCACATTTCCTTCTACCTTTTCACTTTAACAAAAACATGGCTATCTCCTGAGAACACTGCTATCCTGCGTAGCCCATTCCACCGGTGGCACCTCCTCTGAGATCAGCAGGCTGAAAGAAGGGACCTCCCTGCTCCCCACTGCCACTTTGAGACTACAGGGGTTCTTCACCTTTAGGATCACGGGCCCCTTTGGCAATCTGGTGAAGCCTATGGACCCCTTCTCAGAATATTCATAAGAGAAAGAAATAACAAATTCCAGATGTCAGTGAAAATAAGGATGCAATTTTTCTTGCCCATCCAAGTTCACAGACCCCCTGACATCTATTTACAGTTGTGGACCCCAGGTTAAGAACCTCTGTTCCATTTAATATCTTTATTACCAGCCCTCCAATGCCTCCACCTCTTTCAAGCTCCATTCAAACCAACTGTACTAGCCTCCTCTATCCTTGTCACCGTTGTCACACTGAGGAAGGTTACCTACGTTATCCTTTGGAGTACACTGCCTACTGCCACTGAGGACAGTCACCTGGTAACCCAGGAGCGTCCTTCTCACCTCACCTGATGCTGGCCTCTTGTTCTGAGGATCTTAGGATCACAGATGTAAAGCTCAAAGAGGCCTCAGAGAACATCTAGGCCACTGCCTTGTCAATCAGTTTTCCAAGTCTTGTCCATTCTTCTTCTAGATATCTCTCACATCTGTCCCATTCTGTCCCCTCATAGGCACCATTCTAGTTAAAGCTTTTATTATTTCTCGTCATACATAGTACAATAGTCTCTCTCCTCTCTTATCTGTTACACACCTGCCAAAATAATTTTCCTTAAAAACAGAGGACGGGGCATGTCACTCCCCTTTCCCAGAAGCTTCAGGGTCTCCCTCCAGTCTCTAGGATAAAAGACAGACTCCTTTCTTTGGCATCTCAAGCCCTTTACAATTCAGCTCCAGATTTATCTAACAGTTCCCATGCCCTCTCCATTTCAGCCAGACCCTCGCTCAAGCCTGGAGCGTGCTCCACCCTTGCCTCCCTTTTAGTGAGGCAACTGAGGTCAAGTGACTTGCCCAGGATCACACAACTAACAAATGTCAAGTGTCTGACACCAGATTTAAATTCAGATCCTCCTGACTCTACAGCTGGTGCTTTATCCATCTTCGGTAATCTTAGAGTTTTCTTCTACAAGGCTCACCTCAGATACAACTTCTCACAAAATGCCCTTCCTGGTCCCTCAGATGTTAGTGTTCTTCCCCATCCCCACCCTCCACTAAGACAGCTTTGTATTTTCCTAGCAGAATGTAGATTTAGGATGTAAAAAATCCACTGATCCCAAGGCCCAAAGGTTATTCAAGTAGTTAAGATGACAGTGCTGGGGACTGCAGAGCATTATTGCTCTCTTCCATAAATGAGAACTGATAATGTACCAAGTTCCTATGCTTTTTATTATACTTTAGTTTTTGTTACTGTTGTTAGAAGACTCAAATAAAAGGGAAAAAAATGAAAGAAAATGAAAAATTTTTAAAATCCACTGATCCACTCTCAAATGATCTCTAGCATATTTCACCCTTCTGACACATGGATTTCTACATAAGTGTACCTTCTTACTAGTCACTGCTGCTCTTCTACCCCACTTCTACCTAACCTGTGACTCCTGAATAATGTCTACCTTCTCCACAATATTCTAGACATATCCCAAGGCTGGATTTATCCTTCCTTGCATTAAGATCTCTAATTCACTTATTTTTCCCATGTTATGTGTCTTTGGGTATAAAATATCGACGGCCATGGGTTTTATTACCACCCTTTCTCCTGGTATTGTCTGCTGAGAATTATTCAACTGGCCTAATGACAGTTATGACTCTTCTCAGGTCATAATTACTCTTCTCTGTCTCAACACACACACACAGACACACAGACACACACACACAGTCTTCTCCCTCAACTTCATTTTCAGTTTTAATGCCTTCTGTCAGATCCATAAATCCCCAAAATACATTTTTTACTAGCTCTCACTAGAGCTAGTAAAACACATCTAACTAGACTGTATTAGCCAAGAGCCCAACACTCCTATCTTTTAAGCCACCAACCCGAATCTGAAGTCCTTTCTTCTTCACTAGTTGTCTGGTTTACCAATCTCTTTATCTTCTGGAGCCCCTTAAGTTAAACTGGGATCGTCGATGAAACAAACACCTACTTAACAACTTCCATTTGTTGCCCAGTACCCACATCATCATTCCTAGCAATGCTTTCTAAATTCCTGTTAGCAGCATCATTTGTCCTCAAGGGAATCAACAAAAATGAATAGTGGTAGGGCAGCCAGGTGGTGTAGTAGACAGAGCACCAGCCCTGGAATCAGGAGGACCTGAGTTCAAAGCCAGCCTCAGACATATAACACTCACTAGCTCTGTATGACTCTGTATGCCTCACGCATACACAAAAAAATGAATAGTGGTTATAAGATTTGAACAGATTTCAGGGGTAGGATTACGTTGTGGATCAAGTGCTAAACTTGGAATCAGGAAGACTTGGACACTTATTAGCTGTGTGACCTTAACCTCAACCTGCCTCAGTTGCTTCATCTATAAGATGGGGGCAAAAACAGTACCTACACTTCAAAGGGTTTGGGAGAGGATCAAATGAGGTAATATGTGTAAAGCCCTTTTGACAGTGCTTTAAGGCTTCCAAGTGCCAGCTCTTACTAGTCGATGATTTCCAAGAACCTTCGTCCATTCTAAGATCCTATGTTCCCAAATCTCAGCAGCAGCTCCACCAAGAGCCAAATCATGATCCTCAAAGAAAGCAGCTTCCCCATGGCTCCAATGCCCTGGCTTCTTCTTCTTCTTCTTCTTTCTAAGGCAACTGGGATTAAGTGACTTGCCTAGGGTCACACAGCTAGAAAGTGTCAAGTGTTTGGTCTGAGGCCGCATTTGAACTCAGGTCCTCCTAACTTCAAGGCCAGCGCTCTATCCACTGCACCACCTAGCTGCCCCTCAGTGCCCTGGCTTCTTGACGGATTAACAGCTGTGGCAGATGTGATGATCACAATATCGTCTATCTGAGCCTAGTTTCCCAAAACTGAATTTCTGACTATGTCTAGTCTTAGATTGATCTAAGCACTGTTTCCTTGCTGCTGCTGGTTGTATTTCCCCTGGAGCAGAAATTCTGATTACATTCAGACCGCACCAGCGATTACTTCAAGTTCTGGTCTTATATCCCCTTCCTTCCCTCTGCCCAGGCCAACCAGGAGCTAACTTTCCCCAACTTACTTGGCTGCAGAGACTCCACAGTACATACCTTCCGTAGACATCAGATAAAATTACCACCATTCCCATTATTGCCAATAGGAAACTTCAGGCCAAAGCCTACCCTTCTACTTCCCACACCCGGAATACCAGAAAAAAACGGCTGGGGGGGGGCGCAAAGCCAGGCACCTTGTTGGAAGCGGCATGTTTGTGTGCAGTATAGTATTCTGCATCAGCTCTTGCCTTCTCTCGGGCCAGGAATGCAGCGTCTAGTAGGTAAAGCACAGTGAAAGAGAATGCTAAAGTAACAGTTTTTAAGCTGTCCCCCAGTTGGGGAGGACTTCAGATCTCCTCCTGATGAGAGAACAAGCTGCCCACCCCAGAATTGGAGGGTATGTAAGCTGTACAAGATGTAGATTACTGACTTAGCTTTAAAAATCAGCCATTGGATTAAACATTTCTCAATAAAAGAAGCCTTATTACTCTACTCACTTTAAGTTTGCTTATTTCCTTTCTAGCTCTTCTTTTCTTTTTCCTCTCCTTTTTCTCTCTCCAGTCATGTAGTCCTAGCCACTACAATAAAATTAGTGTTGGCAAAGCCATATCCCATAACCCATTTAAATTTTAAAAACAAAGCTATTCCTGCTCTCCCTCTCTCTGAAGAAAGTGCCCAGTCTAGAGGGACAACAAGGGCATTTCTGGCCTTAAGAAGAGGGATAGTTCTTTGCACCTTCAAGAGCACCTGACAGAATGCCTGAATCAATCAACACTGATAGAACATTCTATTCCCTTACATTCTGTCTAACTCATCCCATCATCTCCTACCAATTAGTTCTGGAAGAAACAATTACTCCAGAATCACTTAGGGGCAAGGATGGAGAGACAAAAGTAACAAGGTACAAAAGTAAAAAGTATATGAATATTCAAAAAACATTTGGGAGCCGAAAGAAGCTAACTAATCAAAAGAGCCCTGGCATCTACTGAGGACTCAACATTTGTTTCTTCAATTACGGTAGACAATCTACAGTAAAAGTGAAAAATCAAGTCACAAGAAACATACAGGAGCAGAAAAAGGCAGCTAGCTCATCAACCCTGTTTTCAGGCCCAACTTTGGGCCTGAGGTCAAATGATTTACCCACAGTCACAGACCAACAACTGAGACCATAGCCAGATGTTCCTGTTGAGCTGCCTATAACTGGCCTGCATGACACTGGTGACCAGTCCAGAGAAGACCTGGTCGTGGTCAGGTACTCTCCCTATCCCCTGAAATGACAAGAATTCTCCTTTCCCTGAGATAGAAGGGCAGCGCATAAAACGGGTGGCCCTCAACTGTAACAACACACCTTCAATTTCAGAAATGCGTTTCTCAGTTTCTTTCTCCATCACCTTTTGCTGAAACCGGATTTTTGCCACCTGTGCAGTTTTTTCTGCCTCTACAATTAAGAACAAGGAAAAAAAATGTCCCTTTAAATTAAAAGCAGTACTTATTAGCACACACACAATCCAGCACTAGGTACCATATTATAATATATAAATCTCATGCCTACCACTAGACTACAACCCCCTCAAAGACAGCATAAAGGAACTGCCTAATAAACACTTGGCAACATAATAAAAATGAACACATAACTGCTACTTAATTGTTCTGGGGTTCCATGACAAGAAAACAGAAGTCAAATGCAGTCTTTGACCTCAAAGGGCTTAATCCTTATTTAAAGAACATCATATACAGACACGAAAAACATCAGGGTAAACAATACCCCAAATAACACAACTGCATGACTACGTACCCAAGTGGGGAGGGAAAGAAGAATGGGGAAATGACTAAAGAAAGAAGGGGCAAACTGGGAAAAGATTCTTAGAGGCTGTAAACTGGAAAAGAGTTGAGAAGGGTAAAAACAGTGTCTGACGAGCATTATCTAGCAGCTGCTGACCTCTACCAAGAACACAAGAGGTGGTCATGGTACTCACAGCAAGCCAGTCTTTTCACAGGCAAGAATGGCCAGTGCAACCACGCCAACTAAGCGAGAGCATAACAAATCAATTACAGTAAAAATTCAATCAACAGATTTTTTTTTAACTTGGGGAATAATAATAACAATAATAACTAACATTTATATAGCACTTCCTATGTGCCAGGCAATGTGCTAAGCACCTTTACAATTATCTCATTTGATCCTCACAGCCCTGGGAGTTAAATCTTGTGACTAATCCCAATTTACAGTTAAGAAAACTGCCTTAAACAGAGGTTAAGTGACTTGCTGCGGGGCACAGAGCCAGGGGAATAATGGTCTTCCTGACTCAAGGCCAGGCACTCTGTGCACTATGGCACCACCTACCTGACCCGATATTTCCCAACTTCCATTCATGGCAGATACACTTAGTGAAAGTTTCACAGCACCTTATTTCTGTCTCCAGACTGAATTAGGAAAATGGAAAGAATTTCTCAACGTGTCTTGGCCTTATTTCCAGAAGGCAATATAGTGGCTGAATACTGCATAGCATAGCTTTCTTCTTCTTCGCCACAGCATCCAACATCAGACCAATCTACTATCATCCAACGCAAGGCAATGTCTTGATATTTGATTAGAAATGAAAATATGAAAAGAAACTCAACATCACAGGTCTAGCCCTAAGCCTAATATTCTATTTTAAGCTCTTGGAGAATACAGGCTGTGTCATCTGTCATCTTGTATCCCCAACACCCAGCACAGAGCTTGGCACAAAAGTGATGAACTGGCCGAAGTCATGGGACAATCTCTGACCTGCAAACAGGACCCAGGCTTTCCAAAAAGGTGAGACTTCTCTGCCAACAGAGAACAAAGAGACCTCAGAGTACAAAGAATAATTATTCTTATGAGGACAATTTCTCCTATGATTACCTCCTGAGGCTATCTTATTACAGCAGACCTTTGAAATTTCAAGGATAAACAATTAAGAGCTACTAATTAAAATTTCAAAGGGCACTGGTATATGAGAGGCCTACAACCCAAAGCACCCTTGCTTCTACATGTTTCTATCAACCTCTACTTCCTTTAGTGAGCCATAACATGAAATGAAATATATATATCTTTTCATATTTGTTTTATCTGATGAATAAAGAAAATTTTATCTTCCCTCTCCTAAAAAAAAAATCCTAAAGATATTTTCTATGTTTCTCTCTACAAACAAATCAAAGAAACAATAGCTATATTGATGAGCTTCTGGCTTGTGTGTGACCTTTCTAGTTATGTTTTCCTAGAGGGAAGGAACCCCCATAGAATTCAGGCTTTCCACTTTATTCTCAAGGTTTTGTGTTCTTCTAAAAACAGCTAAAAAAAAAAAGGAAATTATTATGGAAAGCTGGGTACATATATACAACTACAAACAAATCTTCCAAAAAAGGGGGAAAAAAATCAACTTAAAATATCCATACTAATGAAAATACAAAACAATTTATTTTGGCTTTGGAATACAATTTATATTTTATTTCTCTGCCCAATTATGCTTTGGTCAAATTAATATGAAAATAATTCTGCAACCCTTACATGTAAAGCAATAGAGAAGGGGCCAGTGATGAGCTAGACAAGCAGACAAGTCATACAAAGTGATTGGTGCATGGACAGTATACCCATGACCATAAGGCTACTTTGAGCAGTGTTTATCTAGCAAAATGCAATAGGATGTACATTAGAACTGAGGGCTTTGCACAGGTAAAGGAAACCAATGATTAGGTATATAGTTCCTAACCTTTTACCATAGTCGTTTTCTTTCTCTGACTCATAGCTGTTGGGTTTTTAAGTCTGTGGGGGGGACATATTGCCAATAATGTCCGCTATAAATGTCTCTGAAAACAAGTGAAACAGCAGCACTCCCACCAGTACCCAGGGAGGCTACAGTTAAAGTATGACTTGATCTCACACCTTGCTTTGGGAGTTGTGGGGTTGATTAGAAAGATGGGGGGAGGGGCTTACTGTCCAAGGAGACAGCTCTGTAGCACAGTGGATGAGCCTAGAATCAGGAAGACCTGAGTTCAAATCTGTCCTTAGACACTTATTAGTTGTGTGACCCTGGCCACGTCATTTAACCTCTTCCTGTCCCCGTTTTCTCAACTGTAGAATAGGGATGATTATAGTACTTACCTCACAGGGTTGTTTTAAGGACCAAATGAGATATTTGTAAAGTACTTGCCATAGTGCCTGGCATATACTAGGTGCTTAATAAATGCTCCCCCCCCCCCCGCCCCGAGTATGACTGAGTCATCACAAAGTTCAGTATGAGATGGCTAGTTATCTGTTAATATACACCTATCCACAAGGGACATTCATTGCAAATGGGAAACTAGGTACCTATAATAGCCTTTTTCCTCTCTGTTTCTGCTTCTTTCTCCACCACCTTTTGCTTCTGTGCAGCTATAAGGAGTTTGGTCTTCTCAGCTTCCCTGTGGAGTAGAATATTTTTAAAATTAGAAATGATTCAATAAATGTTTTTAAACTACCTACAATGTACAAAGTCCTGTGCTCAATGCTGAGAATACAAAGACAAAACACAAAGCAGCCATTCAAGAAGCCTGTGTTTTACTACAAGACACTATGAGTACTGAAAACAAAACCAAAAAAAAATCAAGAAAATCTTTGGTGGCAGGAGAAGGAAAAACTATGGCAGGGAGTGGGGGAACAGGGAAGGAATCAAAGAACGCTTTGCATAGGAGGTGGCTTCCCAGCTGAACCTAAAAGGAATCTTTAAATTAGAGGTGAGGATGGAGTACATGCTGAGGATGGGTACAGACTAGAACTAAACAGGCCAGGCCCTCAAGGAGCTTGCATTCTATAGGGAGATAAGCATGCATAATGAAAAGTATATAATGAAGTAATTTTGAGGGTGCAGGGCAGAGAACTATCAACTAGGGGGATTAGAAAAGGCTTTCCATAGAAGGCAGCAGCCCCTGAGCTGTGCTTGGAAAGAAGAGTGTTTCCTAAGCAAACAGGAGAACGCAGAGCATTTCCAGGAATGGGACACGGGTTATACAAAGATCAAGAGGCAGGAGATGGAGTGTCCCATATGGAGAACAAGAGGACACAGAGACAGGACTGCCACTCGGGGCGGATGAGACAACAATGAACAACAGAGAGAAGACGGAGTGGCCCAATGGTCCACAGTTACTTTCGTGCTGTTGTCCTATTAGAGACTGTGAGCTTCATGTGGGCAGACTGTTCTTCTGCCTGAGTGCATCCCGAAAGCTCAGCACAGTGCCTTGCCTACTGAAGGAAGCGCATTATAAATGCTTGTTGACTGCTCAGCGCTTATTCTGTTTGCGCTGTGATAACAGCAAGGAGACACCCGAGGTAAGAAAGGAAAGAGTAAGATAGCACTTTGCTGCGCTCGATAAATTCAAATCATGACCAAGATGGAAGAGCGGCAGGAAGCAGGAAGGCAGAGCTTCTCTGCACAAAACTTCTCTCAGGAGATCTGGAAAACGAATCCTCATAGGGCAATCCAGAAAACATCAGCAGATCACTTGTCCAGCCCAGCTCTGCAGAGGGAGACATTGCCAGAAGGATACTGGGGACCAGGGCTGGACAGAGCACACTAGTGCTCAGGAAAAGTACACTCACCAGGGCAAGAGAAGGTCCCAAACTTAAACCATGGCTCCAGCAGACACACACTGGGGCATTGAGACGGGGACAGGTGCAAACTAGCAGCTCTGTCACCAACTACTCAACTTCAGGCCACAGACCCATGGCAGACAGAGAAGGGGTGGGATTCTAGGCAGAGGTACCAAAAAAGGAGGTGCACCAGCGCCTCAAACCCCAGGTGCAAAGCAGGGTCTCAATTCCAACATTTAGCTTAGCCTGAAGAAGAGAAGCCAGGGCAGGAATCCCAGACCAAACAGAAGCCTCTAATTCTGCTCAGTAACAGCAATATTGTACAATGATCAACAATGAATGACAGCTATTCCCAGCAATACAAAGATCCAAGATAATTCTAAAGGATTTATGATAAAAAATGTTATCTACTTCCAGAGAAGGAACTGATAGAGTCTGAATGCAGACTGAAGCATATTTAAAAAAAAAAACCACGACTATTTTTTTCATTGCTTTTTTTTTTGGTCTGTTTTCTTTCACAACACAACTAATATGGAAATATTTTTTGCATGACTACACATGTATAACCTATATTAAATTGTTTGCCTTTTCAATAAGGGCGAGGGGAAGGAAGGATGGAGAGAATTGGGAACTCAAGATTTTTTTTAAAAGAATGTTAAACATTGTTTTTACACATAATTGAAAAAAAAAACCATCTATTTTTAAAAGACATTTATGAAGCACTTGCTACATGCAGAGCACTGTGCTAAGTGCTGGGGATAAGTCAATACTCTAAAACAGCTCACCTTCGAATGAAGGAGACAACACATATGGAAGGTTTCAGCTGCAAGTCAAGATCCTTAGGGGACAGCAGCAAAGTAGATGGTAATCCTTAGTCTTTGATGTTATTTCCACTAATAAAATCATGTCAATTTCTGACACTGAATTATTTGATAATGCCGAGGACTCTGGTAGCAAGAACAATGTTTTCTGGGTCTTACACCGCGATAGCTATAACAGTCAGAGGAATAGCTGCAGGCTATATTTCCCAGGATGATGGCTATAGACCTCATGACGGAAGCATTACCGCTGCCAAGGCTTTGGGGTTCAGGGTCCCTGGACCGTCCCCAGCTCTGATCTGAGGGCCAGTGGTAGTTAGGCTTGCCTGACACATGCTGCTTCCTGCCTCTCCCTCAGGGTGCCCTGCCTGGCTCTGTGGGTGGCAGTTGGCTGGCAGTTGGTAGGGATGGCTCACCTCTTCTTCATAGAAGTTGCTTCCCCAAATGAGAGCTGTGAGGACTGGGAGCAGAACTAGTCATATGGGGGACTCCTGGACTTGCCTGTCTACTGGTGGCAGCCGGTCAGGAGTTGTTGCTAGTAGTGACAAGGCAAATGGATTCTTCTCTGCAAAGCTCTCTCCCCTCAGTGATGACTGTCAAGAACTGGGCTGGAAGTAGGCCTGGTGGTCTGGGGGACCCTGCCATTCCCAAGGCTCTTTGGCTCAGGCTCATGGGCTGTCTCCATCAGAATCTACAGGGAAATGGTGGTCAAGGTGATGGTGGTGATGGTTTGACTTTCTTGGCAATCACTGATTCCTGTCTCTCCCCCTCAGGGGGCCTTGCTGCTTCAGCTAGGCTGACTTGTAAGTGCTGGGGGGGATAGCTAGTCCCTTCTTCACAGAGGATGGCTAAGAGAGATGGGCTGAAAGCAAGACCAATGGTTTGGGTGAGCAGAGACAGAGCTCCCATGCCTAGCAATTCAAGCTGTCCCAAAATGGAATGGAATGTTGCCTAGAAAGGTGGTAGGTTCCCCTTACTTGGAGGTCTTCAAACAAAGGCTGGACTTCCATATTCGGATTGGACTCACTGGTCACTGAGGTCATCTTCCAACTCTCAGATTCTCTGATATGAGTCAGAATCATTCTTTGAATCACGTCATTGATTATTATATAAATTGTACTTGAGGGGCTTTTTATTTCACCCTACACATCGGTTCACAGAAGTCTTCCTAGGTATCTGTCTTTTGCCATCTCTTCTACTATAATAATATTCCATTATTCTAATATCCCATAATTTGTTCAGTCATTCCCCAACTGATAGGAATCTACTTTGCTTCCAGTTTTTTGTTACAACAAGAAGTGCCACTACATCTACGTTTATGAATTTGCAGGTCTGAACCAAACAGAATCAACTTCATAGGGATGATAAGCAAGCCCATGGGAGCTGATGACACAGCAAGAGAGTGCAGAAAGAGAAGGCCCAAAACAGAGTCCTGGGGACACCTACAATTAATGATCAAGAAAAGGATAATGATACAGTAAAGGAAATAAAAGAAGGAATGGTTTGATAAAGAATCAAAGAAAACAATGTCAAAGAAGCCAAAAGGAGAAAAGCTAATCTAGAAAGAGAGTGTGGTTGCCAAAGTCAAAAGCTGCAGTAATCCTGAAAAGAGCAATTTCAGTCAAGCGACTGGGGATACCAAGATATGAGAAGTGAGAAGGAGGCAATGGAGGCAATGAGCACAGCCAAAGCTTTCTAAGAATGGTTATAAAGAAGAGCTACAGGAAGATACCTTGAAGGAATGGCAGGGTTAAGAGAAGGTTGTGCAGTTGGTTCTTTAAGGTTGGGGGACACACCTGGTCATGTTTTGAGGCAGCAGAGGAATCAACAGGGAAGGAAAAATGATCAAGAGGTCAAGTTCCCCAAGGAGATAGGAAGGAAATGTAGCATGGCTGGCCTTTTGTAAAGAAAAAAAAGCAAAGAAGAGAATGAGGTATGGTATAGAGAGGTTCTGAAGAGGAGAGGGAGCTCACAGCGAACTCTCAGCAAAGGAGGAGGCAAGGATCTGTTAAGATGGAGAGAACAGGAATGACAATGTGAGCTGGAGGAGAGAATTAGGTGGTTTAGAATAGCCACTGCAGGATGAAATGGAGATTCAAAGTTTCATGCAAAATTTACTTTTTGTACTCTGTTTTGTGTACGGAAATATTCTTTTTTGATGGTCCAGTTTATAATAAAAACTTAAAAAAAAAAAGATTAGCCATTGCAGGGAATGTAATAGAGTCAAATAGTGAAGAATCAAAGGCTTTCTTTGTAATGAGACCCCAGAATTCACAGTGGGCTTGGTCAGAATGGCTGAATGATTTTTTTTTTTTTAGCAGCATGCAAGGAGGAATAGAGAATGCAAATGATGCAGATAACTCAAAGCTGAGTTTTGGCAAAACGACAGAACACAGAGTTAAGAGGTACAAGGCATATTTCAATATATGATGGAGCCATGAAGAGCTCATCCCCTCCAACAGTCCCAGTCACAACATATATCCAGTATTCAGGTACCTTACATGTAAAAGGAGGCAGGGCATACAATCTTGAAAATTTCTAATGAGCTAAAATTTTAAAACTATTAAAAACTCAGAGGGTACCTCCCCAAGTCACAATAGATAAATGAAAGCTAACTGCCAAAAGAATACCAGTTGTTAATGATCATTTTAAAAAATAATCACTCTCACTAAAAATTAAAGAAAAGCAAAAGTGAAATCCTGCTAACATAGCACCTCACACTCACATTAACAAAAATGATTAAAAACAATGAAACTATTTTCTCAATCTTTTAAGTTTAACATATTTACCACTGGTAGAGCTACACCTCAAAAACACCAAGGAGAAAGGAAAAGATCCCACATTTACAAAAATTATTTACAGAAGCTATTTTTTGTGGTGGCAAAAAGCTAGAACTAAGGAGATGCAAATCATTTCAGGAATAGCTTAACAAATTTTGGTGTAAGAACATAATGGAATACTACTGTACTGTAAGAAATGAAGAAAAGCATTTAGATGGTACAGTGGATAGAGTAATT